GTGGGAAGCAGAACGGGCCGACTGATGAAGTACACTGCTGAGGGCAGCAGCAGGTGGGTCAGGAGAGGTCTGCCGTGCCATGTGGGTCACCTCCCAGGCTAGGGATCGAACTTTTGCTGAAGTGCTACAGCTAGCCTCATAGTGCCGCACTTAAACCCACTGCACCACCAGGGAGGGCCAGAAGGACTCATTTTCTATGCACAAAGTAACCACACAGGATGGCTAAAGTTCTAACAGAGAGACAGTTTGCCCTGCCACCCATTCCTATGGGAGTTTTAAGAAGCCAAAAGGGCATAAAGCAAGGAATCAAGTACTGTTTTCTTTATAAGGAAAAATATTTAGTGTTCTCAGACCCCAAAAGTAACCTACCAAATCATACATAATATCACAAAAGCCTAAAGGAATACTAACATAAAGTAAAAGCAGGAATGACATGAGGAGTGCTCAAGCTGATTACGTAAATTCCAGGGGAGGCCGCGTTCTCCACATGAGGCGTCTCTGCTTCTAGAATGGCTGTTGCAAAGCTCATGCTCGATGCTATTTCATCTTTTGGCTTTTGTGGTAAAAGCCAAAATCCTCTTCAAATCTCTTTCAGTTAGGGAAAAGCTGGTATGAGGTGGGTCGATTATAAATGCCAGGTGACATAACTGGAACTTTTGAAAAGTGGGGGCTATTTCAGCCTGAGGTGAATCTGCTACTATCAACTGCAATCTCTCAGGGTCAGTAGAGGGAGTGGTGAAGGTCACCTTCTGGTGTCAGGCAGACCTGGACCAGATTTCTGGAGCTTCTACATATTTATTTAGTGGACTTGCACAGATGAATCTGTTTCTCTTCATTTCCTCTATCATAAAATGGGGACCCATCTCATAGTGGCTGTGTGCTCTGAGCACTGTTCTGTCTTTGAGGGGAGGTCTGGGCTTTTGCTTGCTTTACCTGTTCCTTTGATAGTTGGAGTAATTAATGAATGAATTTCCTCTTCCCCCTTTCTGGAGTATGTTTGTTAAAGGTCTCAGAGAGACAAGAGTGAGGCACTTGATTGTTCTTAGGGCTTGTAACATCTCAAGCTGGTAGACTTGACTGAGTTGTTATTTTATATAATTCATTAGGTTTAATGTTCATGTTCACTACCTACTTGGAAGCATCTTCGTTTTCCTTGGCGTTTTAAGAACTAGGTTTCATGACTGATTATTAGTTTTACTACAGATGTAATCATTCCAAATTCCAGACGATAACCTCTTCTATCTTGACTACTTCAGAAAGATTTGCCCTGTGGTGAAAACTGATAACAATTTAATCAATGCTATTGAGCGCCCGCTAGTGTACTAGCTACATGGTTGGGTAGATGGATTCAGAGAAAATAAAATGGGGTTTCTGCACCCCAGGAGCGTAACATCTAACTCTCAGAATCATCTAATCATCTAAACATCTAAACTCCCAGATCAGCAGAGTTGGTATTATATGAGACTCTTTAGAAGTGCAAGTTCTCAGGTTCCACCCCACAACTAAATCAGAAACTCTGGGAGAGAACCCCCAACTGTCTGTTTGAAAACGATTGATTGAAAAGACGCACCAGGCCCTCCCTGGTGGTCCAAAGGTTAGGACGCAGCACTGCAAGCTAGCTGCAGCCACTTCATTGGAAGTTTGATTCCCCCATCCCGGATCCTGGCTGGCCCACTGCTCCCCTCAGCAGTGTACTTTCTGGATCTGCCTGTTCTGCTCCCCACTCTGTCTCTGGTGAAGCCTCTCACCGCCCCTGCACCTCTGGCTTGTACCCCAGTTCTCTATGAATAAATAAATCTTTAAAAAAAAAAAAGCCCTACCTAGTGTCAAAATAACAGCTATGTTAGCTAACTAAGCTAGCTCTAAATGTGTCCTTCCAAGACAGAGATCTAGAGGCCAAAGGTCACATGAAGAGTTGGTAGAGAACTGAAACTAGAACTCCAATTAGAACTAGAAGCAAAGTCTTTCTATTTTTTTTTTCTGATGTTTTACTCCCTAAATCTTATGAGAAGTCCCAAATATAACTGGCCCAAAGTGCAAACCTTGGGTTTCAGGGGGGAAATATTTTTAAAACCACACAGAAAAAAAAAAGAGAGCGCAAGAAAATACTCTCCTTAAAAATAAAACCACTGGGCCCTCCCTGGTGGCACAGTGGGTTAAAGCACAGCACTAAGAAGCTAAAGCCATTTCAGCATGAGTTTGATCCCTGCCAGGCAGACATCTCCTGACCCTCCCCCTGCACCCCTCAGCTGTGTACTTCCTCAGTCGGCCTGTTAACCTGTTCTGCTCCCCACTCTGTCTCTGGTGAATCCTCTCACTGCCCCTGCACCTCTGGCCTGTACCCCAGTTCTGTATGCATAAATAAAATAAATCTTTAAAAATAATAATAAAACCACTAACAAAAACTAAAAACTATCAAAACCATCCAGGAAACTAACAGAAACTCCTTAAATCTTTAACACACAGTAAAGTTGCATCTATAAGATTTGAAAATTGGAGAGTGAGGGGGAGAAGACAAGTAACAAATCAAGTAAGAAACTCGGGAAGTATCTACAGTATGCAGACATGTCAACAGTGGGTCACTTTCCATGGGGGAATTACAAATGATTATTTTTGTGTGTATTCCCTGAATTTTTCCCAATGATTTTTATACTAAAAAAAACCCCTGTTTTTTGCATGTTACATCCATATCTCTCAACATGAAGGTTTATTTTCCAATCCAATTTCTCTCCATACAGCAGGATAGTGTGTATGTAGTAATTATTTATATCATACTATATGTTATAATGAAGATGAAAATTGGTAAATATATTCAGCTGGCATTGAAAACCAGGAGATTAAATGCTTCCCTGGGTTCAAAGCACTATGAATTAAGACAAACTAACTATGAAGTTAAAGAAAAAATTAATCTCAGTATTGAGATCACTGAGAGCATCCCTTTTGAAAAGGTTCATGTGACACCTCACAGCTCCCTGATGTTTAACCCCTGGCTCCAAACAGAATGTTCTGCAGTTCCTGGCAAAGTCTTAGGAGTTCAAGAGATAAAATGCATGGAAGAATATCAAAGAAAGAAGAAACAGAATGATCTTATGTTACCATAAAATTCTATCCCTGGGACAATAAGAAATCCAAATTTACTGGCAAATTTCATTGTCCTAAATATCTCTTAAAATTATTTTTCTTCCCCAAGAAATGCTTGCTCACTTAACAAAAATAACTAAATAAATGAATACATAAATAAAAAGGACTGTCTCATTTAAAGGGCCATTGCTACCATAAAAACATTTTTTGTAACATTTCATTTGAGAAAATAAATGTGTTGCTTTGAAGAAACACTAGCATTATTTTACTAAAGTGCTCAGCAATGCAAATTCTGTGAATGTTAATTAGCTTCTTAAAGGAGACAGGGAGAAAAGTTAGAAATCAATGTAATGAATATAAAAAAAGAAATACCCATGATTATCTACTTCATCCAAATCTTCACAATAACTGATGCTTCTAGAATTTGTGGAGACTTTCAGGAAAAGATGAGTAATTACTTGTACAGTACAGTATACAGATAACATATATATATGTGGTATGGTACAGATGGTATATATTATATATGGTGCATATAGAATATGGTGCAAAAATCACATAGTTATAGAGTATATGGCATGCCCCGACATTTATAGCACATGGAATCACTATACTTACACAGCTTAGCTGACAAAGTGTCAGACAACTAAAAAAATGTATCACCTTGGCTTTTGCTATTCAGCATGCAAGCTCTTGTTTGTAAAGGTGTATCTCAGGAGAGTCTGATGTTTCCCTCAATCTTCTACTTAACTTTCTTTCACAGGGTAGTCCCACATGTTACAAAATTAGTACATGAATAAGAAGAATAAAAACACAACTCAGAAAGTTTCTCACCAAACCCTAGTTGCAAGTCCACGCAAAGCCCCATCTGCCTGTGGAAATGGATTTGTGGGACACCCAACCTAGCAGTTTCCTTTTGCTCTACACTTTTTGCCAGATCACACACAACCGTGCAGCCTGGTCATCACACCCGTTCCTACAGGTCCAAGCGCAATTCCTACTCTTCCATCTCTCCCCCACTCTGGGGAGAAAGGGGCCCAGTGTTAGATCTTGCCTAATGTTGCTTATTTTTGCAGCTTGACTTTAGGGTTGTTAAAAGGTACTGATTAGAAACTACCTGCAGATCCAGCTTGGAAGCACTGGTAAAAGCTGAGGGAACAATTCCAAGCCAACAAGACCCAAAATATCCTTACTCTGTAGCATAGAGATACCACTCCTCTCAACAAGAACGAAATAACGTCTCCGGCCTCATCAAATTTTTTTTAATAAAATAAAACGTAGTTTCTTTCATTCTCAGCAAAATTAAATTTTCTGGGTCACTTTCCTTGTCTCACTGGGCCACTTTTCCCACAGCCTGACAGGGCCTGTCAGCGTGCTTTCTTCCCTCAGCCAGTTAAGTTGAAACCCTCTCAGAGACAATACCTACCAGCCCTGGCTTTCCTGGCTTGCAGATCCCAAATAGCAGGCCTCCCCCACAGCCCGGGCCCTCCTCGCCTCACCCCTGGCTTGCTTTCTTGCAAACCAAAATGGGCGAGCTTATTCAGAGAAAAAGTTAATAAACGCCTGCTTTGGAGGAAAAGCTGCCTACCTGCTTTGGACTCAAGTGCCTACGAGCGCGTCCCCCTGCATGCCTGTCCCAGCCGGTGAGTGCTCCACACCCATCCAGAAACCCAGGAACAGGATTTATATGCAGACCTGCGCCCATCCCACACAAGTCCACAGCCAGCATGCCAGCACTTATGTAAGCTCTTGCCTCTACAGTCCCAAACTGCACACAGGCGCGCTCACACTCACCCGGACACCTGTCACACATCGAAAATGGACAAGCATCACCCCCAAGGGATGTGTGGATCGGGGGTGGGGGCATCAGACCTCTTTTCCCCCATTTGTTTCTGGCCCGTTTTTGTCACAACTACAATTACCTTAGCAACCAAAGAATTGCCTTGACTCCCCCTCGGCTTCTGAATTTCTCCTAAAGCCAAGCTTGCTCCAGGTTCATGGCAAAGCTAGACAAACCCAAGGAACTGGGGGCCGGCAGCCTCTTGGGGTGGAGGGGACGTCTGGGTCCGTCTCCGCGCGGCTCTCCAACGTCTCGCTGGTCTTTCGGAGTTTCCGTGGTGCCGAGCGCGGGGCCTCAGCAAGTGGAGAGCGAAGCCCGGGGCCGGCTGGGAGGCGCGGCGGGTCGCATGGTGCCCGGGCGCGGGGCGCTCGGGTGTCTCCAGCGCGCTCGGGGCCCGCCCGGCTCTCCGTGCTCCCAGGCGCTAGCCTCTCTCCCGCCTCACCCCGCCCCAGGCCCGCCGGGTCCGCGCAGTGGGTTCGCGGA